CATCTTACCATGGGCAGACGATTGCCGTCATCTCAGGAATCGGCCAGTTTATTGCTGAATAACAAAAACAGCGCAGTGCAGGTTAAGGAAATTAGTATGCTTCAGAGTCTAGAAGGAAAAAAGAAAAAGGAGGAAGGGCAGGGGAAGGGAACGAAGGACGCGATGAGGCGGTGTGGCACATTACAGGATGGAAGACCTGTTACCATTCACAAAGTTTTTCTCAACTACCTGTTCTTGCTCGACCTCGCTTGGGACTCTCAGGTAGAATACTCATAAGAAGTAATCTTTGCTATAAGACCTCAAAATCTAGTTAAACATATGTAACTCAATTGCAACGACATTTTCAACTGGCTCTCTGTCCAGATTCTTTATCAATGTGGGTTATGACCTTTCTTTCTTTTAAACTTTATTGCTTGACTCTCTGTTTTGGCCTCTCGACGCATGCCTAACACCATTCCCCTAGCCTCAAAGAGATTCACTTGCTGGAGGGTGGAAGTAGACAATACAACAAACTGGAACACTTATGTGGCTCATATGAAGGTGCCTGAAATAAGTCAGGGAGTGCCAGAAAGTGATGGAGAGTAGCGTTCAGGCTGCTTTGGTCACGCAAGGACTTATCTGAGGAGGTCCTCGTTTGTACTCGCTCTTAAATGCAAAAGGATGTCCAGCGGACCTGAGAATGTCCAGCAGAGTCACGCAGGAGTTCTGGGCTGCCAAAACTTACATTCCTGAAAAAGAGATTGCCCATGCACTCAGGAAGAAACCTTTAAGCTCATTGGAACATCTGCTGATAAAAGTTCTTTGTATAACTGGCAGGTGTAAGCAGGCCATGATAGGTTTCTTGGTCACATGTGATTTAGGGTATGTTTGGGTTCATGCTGTGTCTATACCCTGTCGGGGCCATGAGACTGAATAATTAATGTCGTCGGTGTGCCCATGCTACTGACTGATGTCCAATAAGAAGCTTGAATGTCAAGATTCAGCTGAGCTTTTTCGGTCTGGAATACATGTGCATGATATAGAATCAACATCTCCTCTCCCCCATAGACCGACGACTCTCCACAGCTGCTACCGTCTCCAACCATCCATCCTGCCGCGCGCCCCGCGCGCGCCTTCCACCTCTCCTGCCTCCTCTTCTCTCTTCCTGCTCTATCTCTTTCTCTCTTCGCCTTCTACACCTCCCACCTCCCCATCAAACCGCAATCCTCCCAGCATTCATATGCGTTCGCCTCGCCGATCCTCTGCCCTCACACGCACCGCTCCGCTCTGCCTCGCCGCCGCGCTCTCTCTGCCGCCGCCTCCTCGCCCGCTCTCCCGCGCGCCGGCTTTCCCGGTACACGCTGCCTACGCTTCGCTCATCCCCCCATCCGATGGACCTCGCCCTCGCCTTTCCAAACAGCAACGGGGGGCCGCTGCGCTCTGCCCCCAGTCCTCAATGAGCAAGGAAGATTTCCCAGAGGGCGCTGTGAGGTACTTCGAACGATTCGAAGGCGAGGCACAGAGAGACGAGCCTCGAGGCTCGCGAACTTTCACCAAGGCGTTTATCTGCTTCCCTCGCGCTCGGCGGTCCGCCCCAAGAGTGCAGTGCAGTGGCTCTTTGGGCCGCCCCGGACTCTTTGGTCTAGTGTAGTGCTCTCGCTGCTCTTGCTCACTAAATTGGTTTATACACTGGTCATGCGTCTGCCCCACAGTGTTCTTCACTTCATCCTGCCCCTGATAGGTCTCTAACCTGCTTCTCGGCGTCTCAGCCTGAGAGACTGGTTTCCGTGTCTTACTCTGTCTTTCTTCTTGCATCCTATGTCTCATATGTTGCGTTAGCAACAGCAGTAACGAGCATGGAAGGTATCCATTGTCCTTATACCAGTATCTTACAAGGTAGTTGTGCTGAGCCCAAACCTGGTTTTTCTGAAGCAACCTGAATGGTAGAATTCAGCGATTATATTTGTCATGAAAGACTATAGATGCTGTCTGATCATAATAGATTCCTTGATTATAATAGCGGGCAGACCTTATAAATGAATTTACAGCTCTGGTGAAAAGAATTAAGCAAAAGCAAAGCTAGACTTTTTGATATTTTTATACAGGTAGGGCTGTGTAGCATTCTGTGATTATTATGATATTCTAAGAGGTAGAAGTATGGATTCTTCTCTTTTGTTTCTTGCTAGACTATTGAATGGAAATAATATGAAATATAGAATTCTTAGGTAAAAATAATACATGTGGAAGCCAAATAACTTGTCTTATTGCAATTTTGGATTTATAGCTCCGTCTTTATTCTTTATAGGATGTAAAGACAAAGCACAACAATAATGATAAGTCTATATTATGGGTACAGAATATGTAAAGATGTAATTAGTGACATCAGTAATATAAAGAGTGGACTTCTGGCAAGATGGGCTGACAGCAGATACCAGCTGCCGGAGTATCTCAGAAGGATGAAATTTTAGATGAAGGAGAAAACAACACACAGACAGACATAGATCAACGTGGGTCTGACGGATGGATGCCAGAAACTTCAGAAGACTACATGGGAAGAGAAGGTTTCAGTGCAGAACAAGAAGGGCAAACTATCAGCAAAGATGAACCTGAGAAGCTCGGAGTCCTGTGAGAAGGGTGGGTGGAGTGGTTTCTTTATTCCTCCCTTGCACCTCTGAAGTTGGTGGGCTCCTAGCTGCTGGAGAGACTTTCTCAACACACACAACACAGAGGCTTCTGCACCAGAGAGCTGGGCACTGCTTGTGGACATGGCACCAGGCTCTAAGCTTCACTGGGGCACTTCCGCTCCATAGACCCAAGCAGGGACAGCAGGTGCATACTGCTTCTCTCACCATCGGCGCCTTTGTTCTCCCAGGAGTCTTCAAACTCAGGTCTCATCCTGTGTGTTCCCACACGACATTTCCAACTCCGTGTCCGACTGCGGAGCTGCAGGTGTTCAGTGGGTTCTGGGTGGTCTGTGTGACCAAAGCCTGGATCTTCTGGGCAGCATGCCTCCAGGGAGAAGGCTGGAGATGACCAGAGTGCCTGTGCACATTCATTCAGACTCTCTTTGTTGCTTCCCCTTCCCACCATCTGTTGCTGAGAAGATATTTGAGACATCCACCAACACTTCACAGAGAATGAGGCCTAGGCATTTCCTGGTGCAGCACATCAAGGGGTGCTCAGACTGTGATCTTTCTGCTTGGAATCCCGGCCCATGCTACTTGCCTGGAAGCTCCATACAGCAGGGATGCCAACAGTGAAGGGACATTGATCCTGCTCAGGTATCCTGTGGGTGACTTGGGTCATACCTTCTCCCTGGTATGGTCAGGGATTGACCTTCTTGATCAAGGAGGTAAGGAAGTCTCACATGAGCAGATCAAGGGGAGAGTGCAGTGTGTGTTCTAGGTGTGGTGTGCTCTCTGGTACCTTTCTCCCATGGGAGGCCGTCTCTCAGCTCAGGCTGGTCCTGAGTGGGGAACCTCCCAGACTACCTCACAGTTGGCAGGGAGCTCACCTGGCTTGGGTTCCTGCCTGCCAACAGATTGCAGAGACAGACTGTGGAGAAGTGGAGAAGGGAGAGGAGGGAGACCACTGCAGAGTATCAGCATGTGAATCTTAGATAGACCTCCCTCCATAAGCAGTCTTTCTGGTTGGGTGGGGCCCCTTCAGCTACTCCTGGCAGCTCTGTCCAGAAGCTGGGAGCAGACCTTTGACACTGCCAAAACAGCTACGTTGGCAGCTTTTGTGCCTTAGGGCAGGCTTACCCAAGCTAACCCCATCCATCGACATCCCTAACCTGCCCTACTGTGAAGAGAATAAGGACTCATGCGGGAGATCCAGGGCCCCAAGCAACACCTAAAGATTTCAAGTGCTTCTCCTGAGGGACTAGAGCCAGTCACAGGACCAAAATATCATTGAAGCTTGTTCCTTCAGCAAGCTCCACCTCACTGACAAGGAGGTCAATTTGCACGGCCCTTCTATAGCATTTACTGACTCAATACGTACAGGGTGTGTTTAGGGGTCCATGCAGTGTGTGAGCTTCTATGCTTGCTTATGCGGCCACTAGGAGAGCTGTTAATTGGATTACTCAGGCTCTTTCTCCATGCTTGGAGGGATGGTCCTGAATGGAGAGATCAAAGTGGTGTAATTGCTGAGGTCTCTAGCCAGGTTTTTCCTTCCTGTCCACAATCCTGGGCACTTTCCCCTCTGATAGGTCCACTTGTGTTTCCTCTGCACCCACCAGTTCGTGTGTGCGCTCCTGACATAGAAGCACCTTAAAACAATTCACTATTGCAAGATCATGGAAACAACCAAGTGTCCGTCAATTCACGAGTGGATAACTAAAATTTGGTATATGCTCACAATGGAATACTATTCAATTCTAAGAAATGACAGTGAATTAGCACCATTTATGCTATCCTGCATTAAGCTTAAACCCGTTATCCAAAGTGAGGTGACACAAGATCAAGAAAGGGCTCCACATCTACTCGCCATCAAATTGGTACTGACTGATTAAAACTATGATGCTCAAATGGGGATAGTGTCCACTAGGGTTTAGGGGAGGGGGAGATACACATCTTAGGTTGTGGTGAGCATAGTGGGGGGGGAATACAACTAAACCTTCCAAGGGAAAGG